TGCGTCTCCTAGAACGCTTCCATCAACGCTGCCTCCATACAATCCTAAACATCCACTGGTCAGATTATGTGACCAATACATCTGTTCTTGAACAAGCCGCAGTCACAAGTACTGAGGCCATGTTACTGAGAACGCAGCTGCGTTGGGCAGGGCACGTCTCCAGGATGAAGGACCACCGCCTCCCTAAGATCCTGCTTTATGGTGAACTTGCCACCGGCTGCCGCAAGAGAGGAGCCCCAAAGAAAAGATACAAGGACTCCGTGAAACAACATCTCAGCCTTGGCCATATTGACCACCATAACTGGTCTACTCTGGCCTCCAATCGGGAGGTCTGGAGACACACCATCTATAATGCTGCTGATGCCTTTGAGAAAGCACGCAGGATCACCCTTGAGGAGAAAAGACAATGCAGAAAGAATCGTACCTTGCGAAATATACCATCTAAGGAGTTTTTCTGCTGTGCCTTTTGCAACCGGACATGCCTATCTCGTATTGGTCCTTTTAGCCACCAATGCGCTTGTAAGAAACGTGGGTAGAGCCCTTCCCAAATCTTCGTTTGCGAAGCCTAGCCATGATGACAAAGTAGAGAGGACTTACAATCTGCCTGTATTCTGGGATGTGCATCCTCCAGAAACCTATGGTACCTCGGAAAGCTTGCATTTCCTTCTTGCTGGCCGCTGGAGACATTGTTGTTTTCTTGTTGATGACTTCTCTTGGGATCTGATGGCATCTGTCCTGCCACTTCACTCCCAGGAACTGGATTTCTCTGGCAGGTCCCTTGACCTTACTCCATTTGGTGGCAAACCCAGTTTTCAGGAGAATCTGGATGATCTTCTCTCCTTTCTTAAAGACTTCTTCTGCCATGTTCCCCCATACAATGATGTCATCAATGTACTGCAGATGTTCTGGAGCCTCACCTTTCTCTAGTGTAACCTGGATCAGTCCGTGGCAGATGGTGGCACTGTGTTTCCACCCATGGGGCAGTCAGTTCCAGGTGTACTGCATGCCCCTCCAGGTGAAAGTAAACTGTGACCAGCCCTCTCCTGCCAAAGGAATGGAGAAAAACGCATTAGCAATATCAGTGGTGGCACCACTTTGCTGCCTTAGACTCCAGTTCATACTGAAGCTCCAGCATGTCTGCCACAGCGGCACTGAATGATGGGGTAACTTCATTTCAAGCCATGATAGCCCGCTGTCAGTCTCCATTCTCCATTGGGCTTATGCATGGACCAAATGTGGGTTGTTGAAGGGTGAGCAATTCTTGCTGACCACTCCTTGGCTCTCCAGCTTGTGGATCATCTTATGGATGGGGATCATGGAGTCTCGGTTTGTGCGATATTGCCCACAATGCGCTGTTGCAGTGGCGATTGGCACCTGCTGTTCTTCAACCTTTAGCAGTCCCACAGCAGAAGGATTCTCTGAGAGGCCAGGCAATGCATTCAACTGTTTAATCCCTTCTGTCTCTACAGCAGCTATCCCAAAAACCCACCAATGTCCTTTTGGATCTTTGAAATGCCCATTCTTTAGGCAATTGATACCCAGGATCCGTGGGACGTCTGGACCAGTCACAATGGGCTACCTCTGCTACTCCTTCCCCATCAAGCTCGCTTCAGCTTCCACCACTGCCAGCTCTTGAGAACCCCCTGTCACTCCAGCAATTGAAATAGACTCCACGCCCACATGCCCTGATGGCATTGGAGTGCATTGTGCACGAGTGTCAACCAAAGCTCTGTATTCTTGTGGGTCTCCTGTGCCAGGTCATCAGATCCACACAGTCCAATAGACACAGTTAGCCGTGACTAAAGGCAGCGCCCCTCTAATGCTGGTCTTGGTAATCGTGGCTTTCTCCCTGTGAGTACTTACGGGAGGTGTCTTCTAAGGGATCAGACATGTTATCGTCACTCTGGTTCTGTCTAGGGGCTTGCCCACGGGAGACTGGGGCTACATCCATCCTCGTGGAATTGCTTCTGGCCATTTTTCCTTTTAACTCCCGTGCCCATGCTGATAAAGCAAAGTTGGGTTTTCCACCCCATTTACTCATGTCTTCCCCATGTTTGCGTAGGAATAACCACAGGTTGTTCCATGTGGTGTACCCCCTCTCCCTAGCCAGGGGACGCCTGTTTCAGATAGCAGGGGCCTAAGTTTGCACCGGCAAGAGACATGGACAATGCTCTCTTTAAACTCCTCTCTGAGTTTTTTGTGGTCATTTTTTACTTCCTCAGTTAGTGCCCAGAGGTCTGCAACTAATTTTTCTACAGAAGAGTTAGGGGGCCATAACAGGGCATGGACAATCTCATTATATGTCCTGAATTTACTCAAGATAGTGCCCACTGTTTCTTGATTTTTCTTCCAGTGCATTGTCACCAGGAAATAAGCATATATGGGTGGTCCTGCGTGTCCGAGGTTCCACCACATCTGTGATGTGCACTTGACCTCGTCAGGGTCGCTATTGGATTGCCCGTCCCTTGTGAAAAGTATCTCTAACAGTGCCATTTCTCTCAGGCATCAGATCCCATCTTCCATGGTCTCCCAGGTGCAAAGATGATGCCCCTGCAGGTCATCTCTGTAAACAAACCTCTCTCTTACGCTTCTTGAAAGCTGTGCCCAGAGATGAAGGGGTTCTGACTCTTACAAACCCCTGGTTAATACCCGCATCCTGAGACAGGGATCCTAAATACCTTGCTTCAGTACCATCAAGCAGCACAGCTTCACCCATAGGATCCTAGACTCAAATCAAACAGGTCAGAATGGGTTCATCTGGTCATCAAGTGATGTCTTTCCTCAGGTTGTGGAGATTATCAAACGAAAGGGATTTGGTGATTATTTCTGACTGGGTCTGTTATTTGTGAGGGTCTTGCCTCCCCATCATCGTCTACCTGGTGAACTGATTTGGTCTTATATTTTCTCTTTTGGATGGGGCAACTTCTATTGGCCTGGGTTGTCCCTCTGGTTTTGTTACACTCTGAGTTGCCATGGTGTCAGGTGTTTTGTTCCCTTTCTTTTCCTCCTGGAGGTGCTGCACCATACTGAGTAGCTTTCGGTAGGCAGTGACCAGGGCTCCACATGCAACCACAAGCTACCCCTCCATAGATCTACTGTGGCAGTTTTCCCTCACCATTCTCATCACCTTGACAGGGTCCTGCAGTTGTTCAAGGGTGAACTTCCAGGTCACCGGAGTAGAAACATTCTCCAAGAACTTACCCACGCCCTCCCACAACCCATGCCACTCAAAACTATCCACTCCTGGGGCGGGCTTCTGGACACATTCCTGATAGATCTTTGTCCTACCTTCATACATAAGAAAGAGCATCAAAATGCAAACTGCCAAACATACCACAAAGAGTAAGGTATCTCTAACATCTAGAGAGAATTTAAACTCTTCAAAAACTGTTGTGGCAGACCTGAAGGAGAAATGGGTGAAGAATTGGAAGAAAACGCTCCCCTGCGTTCCTCCCCCAGATTGGGTGCCATTATCACGAAACCCCCAATGATAACAGCTTAGGTTAGGGTAGGAAAACAACCCTGAAAACACATTCCAAAGGAGACTTATAGGCATTGAATTTACAACCCCACAAATCCAAGTTACAAACTTAAAAATAGCCACAGCTACCTTGCTTTTAGAATCCATTTTGAGATAAACACCTATGAATGGGAAATACATATGCAGGAATACATGCCAAATAAACAGGAATAAATCAATCAACATGATGCCAGAGGGGTTCTATATCCAATACACAAGTGGATTATTCAAAACTGTTATTCTTTTTCCACTTTTTCTCTCATTGCCTCATGTTGCGTGCCCAATTATTGTCTTGGTTTACTGACGATATGTCCCAGGAGGCAGGACCTCTGATGGAATAAAAACACCCCCCCCTCCAAAATGATAATTTTTTTTTTAAATTACAAAGCATTCAAGTGAAGTATGAAAATGAATAACAGTTTTACTAAAAATGGAGAACAAAACAGAACAAAAGAAAAAAACAAACAACAACAGAAATTAATGTCACCTACAACCACTCTTTCAGTGTATACCACCGAGATGGCAATGCAGTCCTGATGGAGGTCATGTTCAGACCTGGGAGGGGGGAGTACTGATGTGCAGAGTGGTGCCAGCGGTGCTACTCCAAGGCAGTAGGGGCAGCAGCAGTGGCGGCAGCAGTCAGCGGAGGCAGTGGCGGCAGCCGCAAGCGGCACTACTCCAGGGCAGTAACGGCAGTAATGGCAGCAACAGCAGCAGGGACTGTTGCAGTGGCTTTGAGCAGCGGGGAGGCAGCAGGGACAGTTGCTGTGGCACAGTTCCGGGCGGCAGGGATGATTGCCCCAACTTCAAGCAGAGGGGAGGCTGCAGGGACAGCTGCTGCAGCACAGGCAGCATGGCTCGAAGGTGCAGCCCAGCCGAACGGCAACAGCAGCAGTGAGGTGGGAAAACTGACCAGAGACCAGAACCACAACGAGAGACAGAGAGGAGCTCAACTGCGCTTCTGCCCTCTGGAACCAGAGAGAGCATGTTCCGGTCCTGCTAGCAAGTTTATCTTATTAAGTTCTCGCCGTATTTCCTGTCAGGACCCTTCATCCCTCCCTGCCCCCACCCGTTCACAGGGGAAGAGAGGGGAGGTGTTCCCTTGCGCTCTCCAAAACCATGTGATGATATGAAAAAATTAAACAAGAAAATCTTCTTCATTTAGCTAAACCATAACACTATGTAATACTATCTATTCCAGTAACACAAACCTAAATGGGTTTAATTTTATTCAAAGGGCCATAGCAACATGCATGTTTAGCTTCAACAGGAGCCAGATCAGGTCTGTACCAACAGTTATACAGTTTACTTTCAACAGTAAACCCTCACTGAATACATTTCACATTCTTCAGCATTTGGAACAAGAATTCCAGGTACAACATGTGCCAACAAAAATGCCTTGGCATAGACAGCAGGAGGTCTGGAGGGCCCACTTGCACCAAGGCTTAAACAATCAATGACAAACAATTAAATTGCTTACTGGGTAGGCAGGCAGAAGTCCTCCAGGTCCCACAATATACTGGTTATGCAACAAAGGTGGTACACCTTGAGGCAGATTTGGGGGAGCTTTGCCTGTAGAATCAAAATACAGACACTTTATTAAGTCTTTAGAAAGAAAAGGCTTCAGCATTGAGACAAGATAGCTCACGAGTCCTGGCAGATGCACTGTCTTAGTTTGTAAAGAGCAGAACTACGCAGAAGAATTTTGTGCTGGTTGATGAAAACACTCAAAATAGCCTGGAGAGTTTACCCATGCCTCAAGGAAGGGAAAGCATAGGCTACTTAAGACTGAAAACAGTCCCATCAGAAAACAATCTGATTTTGTTATTTACTCTGTCCAAGAGAATTACAAGAATTACAGGAACTTCTCCTTTCCTTGGTCATCTCCTGAAGGCAAAATTCAGGCACTGTTCTCAGTCTAAGAGCAAATTATCTCCTTTCATTTTCTGCTCTGTCAACACATTGCAATAGACTGGAAAGCACTAAATGCTGCCAGCATATTTTTTGTGGGTGACTTACTGCAGCTGAGAATAGCAAAGAGGAGATTGAAATGGTTTCAGTTGCCTATGTGAAGGAGTGCTAGGAAGCAGAAGAGTAAAAAAAAAGCACTTTGACCAGTCATCAGACACTTTATTTACAAGCTATGGAAATGACAAATTCTTCTGTAAGTGTCATCTTCATATTCCCTCCATAGGATTTTTTTTTAGCAGTTCAAGCTGATTAAAGAAAAAGAATTTAGCATTGCTTTCACTTCAGTGTAGGAAGCCTCCCAACCTTCTCTGTGGTTCCTTTTTCTGAAGTGCTATTTTCTGTGGAATGACACAGACATTACACCTTTTTCCTTTCTCTAGATGTGGCAGTAGGGATGTGGCATATCATAATAAGGACACTGCAGTATAGTTTGATACTGCCAAATGAATTCAAGTCACAGAGAAGACTGAAATTAAAGGTAACGTGAACCCACAGCCAAGAGCTGGAGTACAAAAAGGGTGAATCTCCTAGTCCAAAACTTCCAAAGTCAGAACTGCTCTGGTTTCTATTTTTAAAGCTCTTTGGGGATGGAATATGCTACACAAATGCCACATAACATCCTAACAAATATTTCAAATACACAAACCCAGGCAACTTTATTTTATAACTCAGCAAATAAAGCATGCTGAAAATGCTAGTCAAGAGTGTGGATTTCTTAGTGTAGCTATGGCTGGCAAGATGCTCAACTGACAGCCCTGCTGACTGAAGTCCTCTGTCTATCCACATCATCTGTTAATATTGCAAACCTGAAGACACTAAGGGAGCTGCCCGTGTGGTAGCAGACACACTGGTAACACTCAGGCCAAGGCTGACTGTAGTGTTCATACTGCTTGCCATGCTGACAACTGAGGAGGTGCTGCTAGTGGCTGAGGTTGAAGCAGTTGAAAAGGTTGTTGAAGGCTGGAGCAAAGTTGTGTTCTCAACACTAGTGTGCTAGAAAGGAGACAAAAAGAATGAGGATCACAGAGCAAATGAGGCACAGTGAAAGATGCTGGGGGGAGGGAACAAAACTAAAAATCAAAACCAACAATCTTTTAAGTAACAGCAGTACACATAAAAAATAATGCATTATCTATGTACAAGGCAAGCAAATAAGTTGCATGATTGTGATTTTTAAGTATTCAAAGAAAATTATTACATAAGAGTTAAATTCAAACTGCTGTATTATCACAAAATTATACCACAGTAGCTCAAATGTCACTCCATTTCATTATTTCTTGCCCTTTTTGCTTGTATACTCCTTTAAGCTAGTATTTGTTATGTTAAATAAACTCTTATATTCTTCCAAAAGACAGTATTTGTTTTCAAAATACAGGACACTGCTATTGTGATTTCCTCAATGCATTTGTGGAATTTAAAAGATTAAAACTGCAGTGCCCCACAACAGAGTCAATGTGGTAAACCGAAACGCAGACCAAATGTATTATAGGAACCCATGAGGATAAAGGAGTTCCTGGTTTGAATCCACCACAATACAGTGCCTTAGCTGTAAGGTGATCACACCTGCAAAACAGTGTCATCAACACTCAGAAGCCAAAAAGAACTCTGACAACAGAAAAGAAGGACATTTGGATAAGGGTGATTTTTTAAGTTATATATACAGCAGAGATGGAGCACTGCCAAAATTCAAGAATAAAGAAAAGCAGTAACCTATCTGCACACCCCAACTGGGATTGTACAGACAGAACAAGGCAGCGTCTCTCTGACTTTCATTTGTGCAACCTCATCTACAGCACTGTGTTCGCTACCATTTGTCTTATCTCTAATGCCTTAAATACACAGATGACAACGTCACATGGTAAACTCTAAAATCATCTGTCCTGAGGCATTTTTCATGACATGCATCATTCCATCACCTGCATTTTGCCAGCTAACCTCTCCAGTGGAGACTGCTAACAGTCCACATTTTAGAGCAGTTTCAGACAGCCACTTCTAAAGTTTTGGTTTTTTAAACATATTTGTTATAAGAAATTTTTTCTTTATTCTATCCTCCCTTGCTGGCACAAAAATTTCCTCTACGGTTGTGTGACTGGCAAGTCTCTGTAATAGCTATTCCTGATCAAGTACAAATCACAAGTGGTAAAGACTTTTTTACCACTAGAGAGCTGGCAGTCCTCCTTCCCTGAGATAAAGCTCTTGTTTCAGTTCTTAGCATACTGGGACACACTGAACTAAGAGAGGGTCTTAATCATCAGAGAAACTGACTATATGCCAAACATCTGTGGAAATGGAAATAGGACTTACCACATGCGATGTGCATGAAGACAACACTGAGGCAGGGGAGAGGCTACTCTGATGATTGGAAAGGGAACTAGAAAGAATTTGCAAAGAGTTAATAAAATTATTTTTTCCTAAAACATTTTTAATATATATCTATGTATATACACACACATATATATACAAACACGGAGTAGGTAGCAGAATATTAAAGAATAAAAATCGTAGGTATGTGTATACACATACACACATAGTAGAATATTAAAGAAAAAATTGTCTGTAGGAGTGTGTATATATATGCACATATCTATATGTGTATATATACACACATCCCTACAGATATATTTCCTTTAAATAATATCCTGCTACCATTTAATGAAAAAAATGAAGTACATAGAAAACTATTTCTATCTGTCCAACAGCATCAATCCTCCAACTAAAATTTCTACCAATGTACACAGCTTTTCAACAGACAAATGTTGGGAGAAGATGTTTCCAATGTGAATGGATTAATTCTTGTTACTTGACACATTTACCATTTTATTCAACAGAAAACACTAGTATATTAAGAGACCATGTCCTAGCTGTGAAACATAAAAAACACTGTGGTAGCCCATAAAATAAGTTTCTTATATTAACAAATACAGTACAAAGGTGAGTATTAAAACATAACCAGTACAGCCTCAGGATGTCACCTGCCCAAGGACAAAGCTCAAGTAACAGGCACTGAAAAATCAGACAGTGCAAATGAGCTAAGCTGTGCTAAATGCACTTCCAGGAACACCAATCTGATATTTCAAAGTGTCTTAAGGAAATGTCTTAGAAAAAGACACACACTTTCCCTGTGAAATTATTTCTATTTTCTAATTTTAAGAAATACAAATATAAATGAAAATACAATATTTCAAAACTAGTCAGGAAGTAAATTGTTAGGGAATTATTTCAAATATACGACACTAAACAAAGAGCAGGCAATGCAGGCAAAGTAGGAAAAACAAACTGAATTTAGGTGACATCACTGAAGCAAGAGCTCCTTGAAACACAAAGTTTTTATATACCATGAAAACTTGAGGGCAGCAGCTACTCTATCATAAAGAGGCAGCCCAGAGCTCATACCTTGCAACCAGAAATATCCTGGTCTCTTCTGAATCTCTCTCCTAATTCTAGTTAATGTCAGAAAAGGAGACCCTTGTGCCTGACAGCCCCATACACAATCACCCTTATATCTGTCCTTTCCCCACAATTGAACCCCTTTCAGTTTATCACAACTCCTACTGTACCTGCTTAACTGGGAGAGTGAGCTGCTAGCCAGATCACTGGACTGAGGCAAGTTGCACAACGTTGTTGCATGCTGCGATGCTGAAGGCAGAAGCGAAGCAGTGGTGGACACCATGCTGGGCAGAGAACCAGTAGAAGGTACTGAGGGAGAAGGTTCTGTCTTAAGCACAGGAACTGATGAAGTAGCTGCAACAAGTTAAAAATAGACATTCAAAGACAAATTCCAGCACACTTGACATCCCAGCCTGGATCCAGGAACACAACAGTGTTGTCCCCTTGGTTTAAAAAACCCTGACCATTAAGAACCAGTAACAGTATCAAGAATCAGGCTATTAATGAAAATTCAGACAGCAACAGAACTATAATTTTTTCCCTTTAAGCTCTTCACCTACAATAGATTTATAAAATTTCAATGTTACGTGTGTAGCAAACTTCTGCACCTGGAGAAGAGAAAGCTCTGGAGAGACCTTTTAGCAGCCTTCCAGTACCTGAAGGGGGCCTACAAGAGAGCTGGAGAAGGACTTTTTACAAGGGCACGTAGAAATAGGACAAAGGGGAATGGCTTTAAACTGAAGGAGAGTAGGTTTAGGTTAGCTATTAGGAAGAAACTCTTCCCTGTGAGGGTGGTAAGGCACTGGCACAGGTTGCCCAGAGAATCTGTGGAAGCCCTGTCCCTGGAAGTGTTCAAGGCCAGGCTGGATGGGGCTTTGAGCAACCTGGTCTAGTGGAAGATGTCCCTGTCCACAGCAGGGGGGTTGGAACGAGATGATCTTTAAAGTCCCTTCCAAACCAAATCATTCTATGATTCCATGAACTAAGAAAATTATCAGCACATACAGAAGTGAAAATGTCAAAGAAGACATTGTCAAGACAATGTTAAGAAGAGAGAATTACAAAATAGTTTGCATGCATGAAATAGTTACATGGAAGAAGACTGATTCCAGTTTATGTGTTGGAGATACAGAAAAAAACAAGTGTTCTCAAAGAGGAACTGGCACAGAAAAAGGGACTAATAAAACCATTAGAGAATAATTACAAAAATATTAGGAATTCCCAGATCTTTGCGTTCCATAGCAAAAAGACAAGTCCTGTAGTGAATTTCATAAGTTGTTTATTAATTCTGTACACAAGATTAAGAAAGTTTTCCACTTGAAAAGTTGTTTTTATATATAACAATCTTTCAAGTGGTAACTCTTCGGGCATATACACTTCTCCTGGTCATTTAAATTGAAGTTATCACTAACAAAACATTGTTTATAGGTCAGAATGCTCAACTTCTTTCTACTCAGAAGTATAAAAAAAAAGGCTGCCCTACTAATGACCTACCTGAAGAGATGCTTAAGAGGAAGATAGACTTAAAATTGAAGTGTTGGAATTCCAAAAGATGTTAATTCACACTGCAGCCCTTGAAAACTTCCACAGAGCAGAACATAAAGGTCAGAATATTGAATACTATAATTTAATTATTTTAACTCCAGGAAGAGAGTTGTAGGGGTGGTACAAGTAAAATACCACATTAGAAACTGACCAAGATGAAGATAACAGTTGATATCCGAGTTTTGAGATGTAACAAGAACTAATAGTTTTTGCAGCGGAATGTACCATAGAAACTCCATATAGCTGAGCCAAGTGATTTAAAGGGACTAACCAAGCAAAGTAAAGAAACAATGAAGAAGGGAACTGAGGTAGCAGCCAAGCAACACCAAGTTACTCTATAACCAGGCGTATTGTCTTAAAGAAGTTCATAAGGCAGTCACTTAAAACTTTGGGGGCTCCAGACATGAGATCCCCAATGAAGCCCCTCAGAGATTGTAATGGTTTGATTTATGCCTCTTCCTGGCAACCAGGTCGAAACTAAGGAAGTACCATATCCCAGTATTCCATTCTATTTCTTTACGTAAGCAGACGTAAATAGGAAGGGAGAGAAGGTCAAGCCCTTTCTTCTCTTCCAGCGTACTTGGAGAAAAGCAGCCCTCCCTGCGGCTCCTCCAACCGTGGGGGTGTGGGGCCTGTGGTTTGTCGATAGACTGCTGCCTTCTTTCCGAGTTCGAGAAGGAGATGCAGTGACCGTGGATTGAGACGTTTCTGTTTTCTCAAGGAAAGTATTAAGATTTCATTTGTTAGTTCTTTATTATTGGGTATATCTGTTTTTTCTGTTTTCGGGTGTTGGGAGTTTCTTTCTTATGTGTATACAGTTTTTGTAATTGTATATAAATGTAATATATGTAAATATATATATATTGCATTAGTTCTGTTATCTCGGTTCTCTTAGTTTTTTTGTTTTTTTCCTTTTCCCTTGGTTTTTTGGGGGGGAAGCTTTTGCTGTGGTGTTGGGAACTTGGTGGGGAGCCAGTTCCAAACCGCCACAGAGATCTTATAAGGATATATATATATGCTAATTAGAGTCGGTAAATGTCATGAATATGTAACAAAAATGTGGGGAACCAAAAATGAATTATCATGTAATGTATAAACTGTAGTGGAGATACCTCTATGTGCACTTTGGGAAATGATTCCCAGGGCACCCAGCGTGCTGTGATCATGCAGTGCGTCGTAATAAAAGAATGCCTGGCTTCTAAAACTCACTAATTGAGTCTTAGAGCTTTCTTTAAGAGCCGATTTTAGGCAACAAAGTAATGTCTGTATCAGAGCCAGTACTGTGTTATCATTACTCCGCTGCAAGGCAGCAAGGTACCTGACAGAGCTTCTAACAGGGCACAAGTAGCACTATACCCAGTGAGAGCTGCATTCAGACTATGTGACTTTGTGTCATTACAGCTAAATGCTACTCAGAGCTTCCCAACTGAGAATTGGAAGAATTACTAAGAAATTTGATATTAATTTTTAATTCTATAATTTTTAAAATTTTATATTAATTTGTGGCAGATAAATTCAAAAGAAAAAGCAACAGCAAAGCAGCTCCTTTAATTCTAAGACTGCTTAGGTTTGTAGATTTAATAGAGTTGCTTTCATACTTCAGTTTTAGTCAAGCAGCAAATAGTATATCCTATGCAAATACAAAATAAACTCAAAAGAGTCAGTCAAAAAATAACCAGTGAGAACAAAAAAAAAAGCCAGTGAGAACAATATAAAACCTTAAACCAGACGTGACTGCTGTAGTTGTGCGCACAGCAAGTATTAAGGAAAGGTCAGAAAGCCCTGTGCACAACCAAGCTTTGTAAACTTACTGTCAAGAGTTGCCTGTGTTCTAACACTGCTGTGCCCATTCTGTAAACAAAGGAGAAATGGATGAATAAACTATCCTACAGGTACATTAAATTTTCAGACCGAATGACACACAGAACATGCTTCATGCAAAATTCTATATTCAATTCTAAATTGAAAGACCAAAAAGACAGAAAATTAACTTTTTTTACAGCCTTTAATAAAACCACATAATAAAGTTGTCTCAAGTGCAAGGTGTCCTGAACATATAGAATCCCATACACTGCCCATAATACACCCATCAGCAGGACACCATCCCATGTACTGTATATAACACAAACTTCAGATTCACACCAATATGAAAGAAAGAATTGCATTAACATTTAGGAAATGGTTGTGCTTTTGATTTAATGCAACTCACAATTTTAACTATCCAAGTTACACAGAGATGTTAATTTTTTTGATTGAAAGATAAGACTTGTAAGGCACCAATTGTTGTTTGGATAACACTGGAGTACAGAAGTAGATAGTCTATGCTTGATCCTCACTAGTACATATGAGCTAGTGCAGAAGACGTGTGACTGAGCCATTACATAACAAAGGCCAGGAGTAAATAAACTTACAAACTCTCACAAGTTCCTTAAATATTTGATAAATTAAATTCTCTTAAAACAAACCTACATTCCCTATACAAATAGAGTAGGTGGTTTTGAATACTCCTGAGACTCTCTCTGTCCTAGATTAAATCTCTCCCTATGCTTTTTAAAATAAAAGATGAAACTAATTCCCACTGCCATTTAAATCCAACAAAAGAGTAATGCTGGAAGGGTCACAAACAGTTTGGGATCCATTTGCTAGGTGCCATATTAATTTATTAAATAATATGCCTTTGGATAGAAATTGTCAAGTTATGGCAAAATACCATGACTAATATTTACATACAGAGATAGTTCCTTTTTTAAAAACTAAGCTTCAGGGAAGGAAACTCAACTAGAATGTTGTGTTATTAAGAATAAACGTCAAACAACAATTTAAGACATCAAAACCCATAAAAGCAGAGGCTCTTATATACCAAATACAAAAAATGACTACACAATAGGAAAAGAAAAAACAACAGAGTGGACTTGAGAATCAAAAAATACCACTTGACTTGGTTAAAATATTACTATATCTGGGTAATACAAGTTTAATATGGATAAGAATATTTCCTCTTTTTCAAAGTCTTATTTCTGAAATTCACTCACTGTATCTGCAACAGGGGTTGGTTCAGATGGAGCCATGGAGCTTTGGTACGCTATCCTACTATGCACAGAAGTCTGGTCATAGGAGGAAGTTGTTACTGGGCTAGTGCTCTGGGATGAGCAGGTCAGACTGGAAGAGGTGATGGCAGAGGTTGTGTAGGTGGACTCCTGTACTGTATTGACTATTGGCAAAGAGGTATTCAAAGGATCACTGGAAAAAGTAAAAATTATTTATCAAAATGGTAAACAACATCTCAAACACCTTTGTGAAAATATCAGCTCCTATATAGTTATCTAGAACTACTTTAAACATGCAGTCAAATCTACATTATTTATACTAGCAAATCTAATAATGAGAAAAAATATATAATTTTCCTTTGGCCCCCAGTAATCACTGATTCAAAACCATCAGCTGCACTAAGCACCATTCATCTTCCTCCTGCAAGCCCAATCAAAACAAGAGTTTACAACACAAGCACTTTCTGGTCATGTTATTTCCACCTTCTCAAAGGATATATTTATGAACATAAACTCAATTTTTTAAACAAGTAGATCCATAAAGTCTGGTATATGATGAGAAACGCCCAGTCTCTTTTTACAATAGAATTCAGTCATTAAAGTAGCCGTCTAACAGAATTATGCAAAGTAGAAAAGTGCTTTAAAATGCAGGATTGTTTTACTTTCTAAACAGTTTTTTTTTTTTAGTTTATAGAACTAGAAATTAATGTGAAAATTCATTTTTAACAATATTTCTGAATTGGCTTCAGAAAACTTCCTATTGAAGTCAATTTTTGAATGAATAAGGAAGAAAAAATGGCTTACTGGTACGCTGGCATTTATCATTGACCATTTTAGCATTTCAGTAAGAGGTTCTACATACTGAAAGACTGGTTTCTTTTCTCATCCCATAGAAGCATCATATTTGTAATCTGGTGCCAATCTACTAATACACATACATGGTACAAAGGTAATCTCTCCTCGACCAAAAGTAGAAAAAAAATCATGCTGTGAGGAACAAACCCTTAAAAAAATTTGAAAGTCAGGACAATTAAACACAAGAAAGCAATTCTACAAAAGGTAGTTTAATTATAAAATTATTTACATTCATGTCATCTCCAGCTTCACATCAACCCATCCAGGGAGATTTTGATTGTCATTGGAAAATAAATTTCTCCTTTAAGATGCCATCCACAGAAAACACTTCACAGAATCAGAATTGATTAGGTTGGAAAAGACCTCTGAGATCATTGAGTCCAAACTGTGACCTAACACCACCATGGTCAACTAGACCAGAGCACTAAGTGCCACATCCAGTCTTTCCTTAAACAGCCCCAGGGAAGGAGACTCCATCACCTCCCTGGGCAGTCCATTCCAATATCTAATCACCCTTTCTGTGAAGAAATTCTTCCTAATGCCCAACCTAAACCTCCCCTGGTGCAGCTTGAGGCTATGTCCTCGTGTCCTGTCACTAGTTGCATGGGAGAAGAGGCTGACCTCCACCTGGCTACAACCTCCTTTCAGATAGTTGTAGAGAGCGATAAGGTCTCCCCTGAGCCTCCTCTTCTCCAGGCTAAACAACCCCAGTTCCCTCAGCCACTACTCATAGGACATGTGTTTCAGACCCTTCACCAGGTTTGTTGCCCTGGATTCGCTCCAGCATCTTAATGTCTTTTCTGTATTGAGGGGCCCAGAACTGGACACAGCACCTGAGGTGTGGCCTCACCAGTGCTGAGTACAGGGGAAGAATCACTTCTCTGGTCCTGCTGCCACACAATTGCTGATACAGGCCAGGATGCCATTGGCCCTCTTGGCCACCTGGGCACACTGCTGGCTCATGTTCATTCACCTTACATGTCATCATATTTCCCCCTCCCATTACATGGTAACTGTGCCTTGATGTTTTTGGCAGTTTTGAACCCTTAAAGAAGACATGCAAGAAGGCAGGAGGGGAACTCACACATACTTTAGAGATTCTGTGTACAAGCTATTGTTGGTTGCCTGGCTGGTATTCTCACTGCTTGAAGATGATCCTAATTCTGGGAGTGCAGGCTCTGATCCAAACTCCAAAGCTCCAAACTGAACATTTAATCCTGTCACATCTGCTGATCCAGGCATTTCCACTGCAGAGGCAGGAATCTTAAAGGAGGAAAAAACCCAACATAATTCCTTTGCATGCACTATCTGTATTAAAGATATCAGTAACTGACATCCTCGCATCCCTTAACTACAGGCTTCTTCAGTTACTGCCTCAGCCTTTGCTGCTAATTAGATCTGTGACAACCCCCCACTTTACATAAATTAACTACATTCTTGTAACCTGAAATAAATTCATCGATGCTGTGCCCTGATCTGGAGCTGAAACAATAAGCCATACTGTTCTACAATATCAAAGTGTCATCTGTGTCCATCCCTCTCAGCCAATATTAATCTTGTGGCTACTAAGTCAATCCAAAAGTCAAACAGCAACAGTCATTTTCCATGCAGAGCAATCAGATATGTGCTTGGAAAAGACAACACTATTTTGAACCTAAAAACTATTCAGCTTTGAATTTTCTGCTATATAAACAAGAAACAGAACATGGTCTTTGCTCTCCTTCTCCCTAGAAACTTATATATAGAATCATTTGGGTTGGAAAAGACCCTTAAGATCATAAAGTCCTACCATTAATCCAGCATTGCCAAGTCCACAACTAAACCATGTCCCTAAGCACCACATCTACGTGGCTTTTAAATCCCTCCAGGAATGGTGACTATTCCAATGCTTGACAACCCTTTCTGTGAAAAAATTTTTCCTACTATCCAATCTAAATCTCCCCTAGTGCAACTTCAGTCCATTTCCTCTCATCTTGTCACTTGTTACCAGGAAGAAGAGACCACTCCCCACCTGGCTACAACCTCCTTTCAGGTAGTTGTAGAGAGCAATAAGGTCCCCCCTGAGCATCCTCTTCTCCAGACTAAACAACCCCAACTCCCTCAGCCACAACTCATAAGACTTGTGCTCCAGCCCCTTCCCCAGCTCCATTTCCTTCTTTGGACTTGCTCCAGCCCCTCAATTTCTTTCTTGCAGTGAGGGGCCCAAAACTGGACACAGGATTCAAGGTGTGGCCTCACCAGTGCCAAGTACAGAGGGACAATAACTTCCTCGGTTATGCTGGTCACACTATTGCTGATACAAGCTTTTGTATGTTTATATGTTTACTAAGGACAAATTCAATGACCCACCTTGGATGATGGAATTATCCTCCGTTTTGGTGGTTTTATCTGCTTCTGCTGGCTTTGGTGGGCAGTCACTGCCTGGTTATCCATAGATATAGTGGAGAGCTGTAACATTTTGCTAACAGCTGTAGAGGTGTCTACTGGTGACGGCTCGTGGAGTTTTACCTGGGAGGAGAAGGACTCCAGCCCAGGAGGAGAAACAGGGACTGTCTGTGTTTGTTGTTGCTGTCGCTGGGCCAGATGGCTCAGAACTGGGGAGGGTTCAGGCTGGGATTTCAAGTCTGGTCAGTATTGGGAAAAAGAAATATCAAAATTAAAGCATTGAACTCTGTTATTCATGCTTCTACCCTTTTTGAAAGAATGTGGGTGACTTGACACACAGGACAGCTATGATTTTATAGAATGTGCAAGTCTTTCAGACATCACACGAGTTTCATATTTAATATTACCATTGTAATAATAAGGCCAACACCTGATCACAGAATCACAGAATCACAGAATCGATCAGGTTGGAAAAGAGCTCCGAGATCATCAAGTCCAACCCTTGATCCAACACCACCGTGGTTACTAGACCATGGCACTGATGCCACATCCAGTCTCATCTTAAAAACCTCCAGGGATGGAGAATCTACCACTTCCCTGGGCAGCCCATTCCAGTGTCTGATTACTCTCTCTGTAAAAAATTTTTTCCTAATATTCAACCTAAACCTCCCCTGGCACAGCTTAAGACTGAGTCCTCTTGACCTACTGCTGGTTGCCTGGGAGAAGAGACCGATGCCCACTTGGCTACAACTTCCTTTCAGGGAGTTGTAGAGAGTGATGAGGTCTCCCCTGAGCCTCCTCTTCTCTAGGTTAAAAAACCCCAGCTCCCTCAGCTTCTCCTCATAGGACTTGTGCTCGAGTCCCTTCACCAGCCTCGTTGCTCTTCTCTGGACCTGCTCCAGCACCTCAATATCCTTCCTGAACTGAGGGGCCCAGAGCTGGACACAGCACTCCAGGTGTGGCCTCACCAGCGCTGAGTACAGGGGAAGAATCACTCCCCTGGTCCTGTTGACCACACTGTTCCTGATCCAGGTGATGCCTTAAGCCCCTAATGGTTTCCTTATTTTTCTACCTTATAAGTTTTATAGGTAATAGAAGTAGATTTTAGAAACAACCCTTTCTCCCTCTTCCCTGTAGCACCCCTTAGTTTATACATTCCTTAACCCTCTTACCCCATTCCATACTCCCCATATCAGCCCTATCCCCATATCCAGTAGATGTTTTGTCTCTTGTCAAGGTAAGCCTGTCTTGTTTGGGGAACGCTTGTATCTTGGCCTAAACCGCAGTACACAGTCAAAGAACTGGGTGACTCTGCTCTCTGTACCCCGACGATGATGAAGGATGATGAAGAGAGGGTCCCAAAATGCACCCCAGACCCAATTTCTAAGGGGTGGGCCAGGGGGTGGACCAGGCCAAAACTTATGGGGTGGACACACTTGGGATTGGCCAGATATTGTTATATATTTTAACATCTCAGGCACAGCCTGCGCGCGTCGTGTACCATCAGTTGCCTTGGCACGATTAAACCCTTTCCTTATCTCACCCTAATTAACGGCTCCTGGATTTTTTTCTTAGCACCAGCCGAGCAGGCAACACAGGTCAGGATGCCATTGGCCTTCTTGGCCACCTGGGCACACTGCTGGCTCATGTTCAGCTTCCTGTCAATATTCTCTACTTTAAATAAACAGCTGTGGGCAAGCATTATTAAGAATCATAGAAATGTTTAGGTCGGAAAAGACGTCTAAGATCAAGTCCTACCGTTAACCCAGCATTGCCAAGTCCACAACTAAACCATGTCCCTAAGCACCACAT